ACGCCATTCTCCTGCCTCAGCCTCTCAAGTAGCTGGGACTACAGGCCCCTGCCACCACGCCTGGCTAATTTTTTGTATTTTTAGTAGACACGAGGTTTCACCATGTTAGCCAGGATGATCTTGATCTCCTGACCTCATGATCCGCCTGCCTCGGCCTCCCAAAGTGCTGGGATTACAGGCGTGAGCCATTGCACCCGGCCTGTACTACGTTCTTAAGATAGAAGTGCTGACAGTTTTACCCTGCTGAAGACAACCTCCCTAGTCTTGCCCAGAAGTGGGCAGCACAGGTGGACAGTGATTCTCTCTGCCTTACCATGTAGTATCCTGGAAGCAGCTTCTGCAGAAACTCCGCCTCTTTATGTTGGACTGTCTTAATAATGAACTCATCATCACTGGACACATAGAAAAGGGAACCACTAGCTCCAGAGCTGCAGAGTTCAATCAGCGGCTCACTGCAGAGGGAATACTGGGGCAAACAGAGAAGAACTAAGAGATTTAGACACATCAGGGCCTTGTCCAACATAAAAATCACCTACAGACGCAATTCTTTTCTAAATAAAAACCAGAGCGAGACTGTGGAGAAAAGGGGCCTTCCTTTGGGAATATCCCTCTGATACTGGAGTCACAGGGTCCTGATATCCAGATGCTTACCAAGTAATCATCAGGCCGGATACCAAATAGCTCCCGGAAGTAGCGGAAGGCAACAGGTGCATAGGTCTTGAAACGAAAGTCATTGTAGTGATGAGCAGGGGTCAGGTTGCTCCCTTCACTGTGGGGTTAAACAGAGGTAGCCATAACTTGCCAGTCCCTATCATCCAGAAAATCTACCTTGCAAAGACACTCAAGAGTCACCTCATGGTCGGGGGAGTGGGGGAATACATTCTTCCTAAGAGAATCAGGGCCCTTAGATGAGTTACTTAGTGAGACAATGGCACAGCATGGACAGCAAGACATAAGAATAAGAAGGAATCATACTGCCTCCTATCCAATGCATGAGATTGTTTTTTACAGGTCAATCCATAGGACAGAGGCTAATGGAAGCATCTAGAGGATAGCATCTGCTCTCCGAACTCTCTAGTCCCACAACACCCTGATTATAACCAGGTTAAGAATTGGACACATGCCTAAACTGTCAGACCTGAACCCCTAAAACTGCCCTGGGCTGATTTGAAAAGGCCACATTTCCAGGACATGCTCCTGAACATTAAACTCTACCTGGGGAAGAAGATACTCTCCACCACGTAGAAATCTTGCATGAGGACATCACGCTCTGGTTTGGTACTCAGGCTCCCCACAGTGTGGGTAATGCCCAACTGGATGGCACCTTTCAAGGCTGATGAGGTTGTCTGAGAAACAAGAGAAATTAGAAGAAAATTCCTAGTATAAGTAGGACCATAACAATAAAAATTCAGAAGGGAGAAGCTAGAAGAAACACTTTAAAACAAATGTCCTTTAGTCTGAGCAATAGTTTAGATAAAACTGGGACAATCCAGTCTCCCCATCCCTATGCTGTACTCTGCAATTAAGCTTAGTAAAGATTGGAAGGACAGTGAGGATACAGAGTAGCAAAGCTGGACTCTCTGAGCCAGCCTCAGCTAGGCAAGGTGCTCCTGTTGGCCCACCTAAACAAGAGTTCCATATCTGTATTTGGAAGACACATAGTATTGACAGAACATTGTTAGTTCCCACTCCTAAGGTTTCTGCCCCCAGAGTGTATCTGGAGCCCTCTAAACATTTCCTTCATCTGATATAGAATGTAACTAAAATTAACCAACATTCCTGGGTTTTTTTGTGGTTTTTTTTTTTTTTTTTTTGAGAATGAGTCTCGCTCTGTCACCCAAGCTGGAATGGGTACAGCAGCGTCATCTCAGCTCACTGCAAACTTTGCCTCCCCAGTTCAAACGATTCTCATGCCTCACCCTCCCAAGTAGCTGAGATTACAGGCATGCACCATGATGCCTTACTTATTCTTTATATTTTTAGTAGAGATGGGGTTTCACTATGTTGGTCAGCCTAGTCTCAAACTCCTGACCTCAGGTGATCCACTTGCCTAGGCCTCCCAAAGCTCTGGGATTACGGGCATGAGCCACCATGCCCAGCCCTAAAATTAACTAATATTCTGATCTGACTGCCTGGTGGCAGAAACTTTAGTCCTCTAAGGAAGAGCCTGACTAGTGTCTCAAGGACAAAAAGGTGGGGTGGGTGCGGTGGCTCACGCCTCTAATACGAGCACTTTGGGAGACGGAGGTGGGCAGATCACTTTAGGCCAAGAGTTCAAGAACAGCCTGGCCAACATGGTAAAACCCTGTCTCTACTAAAAACACAAAAATTAGCTGGGTGAGGTGGTATGCACCTGTAGTCCTGGCTACTCGGAAGGCTGAGACAGGAGAATTGGTTCAAGCTGGGAGGTGGAGGCTGCAGTGAGCCAAGATCACACCACTATATTCCAGCCTGGGTGACACGGCAAGACTGTCTCAAACAAAAGGACAACAGTGTGGTAAAAGAGCTCTTAACTGAAGAAGAAAGCATGAAAGACAAATTATTTCTGAGAGTAGTATTCAGATTTAGAATTATCAAACTACGGTCAAAACACAAATGCAAGAGCCCCACTCTTACAATCCAGGATTCCAAGCCCGTGGGAAAGTATCGCATCATCTAGACCTTTGTGTCTGATAACAGTACCAACCAGGTACACATGGCTATTTAAATTTAAGTTAATTTAAATTTAAAACTTATTTCCTCAGTCTTACAAGTGTGGCTTTTAGCTACCATATTGGATAGCACAGATACAGCACATTTCAATCATCGCAGAAACTTTGATTAGACAGCTTTGCTCTATTTGCCTCATCCCCAACCTCCACCAGACATTACTTATATTTCTACTTGGTCCTCAATGGGCATTAAATTACAACTAGTTTTGTTTGTTTTTTTGTTGTTTTTTTTTTCAGACGGAGTCTTGCTCTGTCGCCCAGTCTGGAGTACAGTGGCGTGATCTCGGCTCACTGCAAGCTCCGCCTCCCAGGTTGACGCCATTCTCCTGCCTCAGCCTCCCGAGTAACTGGGACACCAGACGCCTGCCATCACACCCGGCTAATATTTTGTATTTTTAGTAGAGACAGGGTTTCATCATCTTAGCCAGGATGGTCTTGATCTCCTGACCTCATGATCCGCCTGCATCGGCCTCCCAGAGTGCTAGGATTACAGGCGTGAGCCACCACGCCCAGCCTACAAATAGTTTTCTTAATGTACAAATAGGTCAAAGGAAAATAAATTATTACTGTTGTTTTTAAGTGTCTGCCTCCCCAGTTAGAATAGAAACTCATCTTTTTATTTCAATATTCAACATATAAAAAGAGCTGGCCAGGCGCGGTGGCTCACGCCTGTAATCCCAGCACTTTGGGAGGCCAAGATGGGCGGATCACGAGGTCAGGAGATCGAGACCATCCTGGCTAACACGGTGAAACCCCGTCTCTACTAAAATACAAAAAAAAATTAGCCAGGCGTGGTGGCGGGCGCCTGTACTCCCAGTTGCTGGGGAGGCTGAGGCAGGAGAATCACCTGAACCCAGAAGGCGGAGGTTGCGGTGAGTGGAGATCACGCCATTGCACTCCACCCTGGGCAGCAAGAGCAAAACTCCCTAGAAAAAAATAAAGTAAAATAAAAAAGCTAAATAAGCCAAATGTGGTGGCTGAGGCCTATAGTCCCAGTTACTCTGGAGGCTAAGGTAGGAGGACGGCTTGAGCCCAGGAGTTCAAGGCTGCAGTGAGCCATCAACGCACCCACTGCATTCCAGTCTGGGCAACAGAGCAAGATCCCATTTCTCTTATTTATTTATTTTTTTTTTGAGACAGAGTCTCCCTCTGTTGCCCAAGCTATAGTACAGTGGTGCAACCTTGGCTCACTGCAACCTCCGCCTCCCGGGTTCAACCTATTCTCAGGTCTCAGCCTGCCGAGTAGCTGGGATTACAGATGCCCGCCACCGTGCCCGGCTAATTATTGTATTTTTATTAGAGACAGGGCTTTGCCATGTTGGTCAGGTTGGTCTTGGACTCCTTACCTCAGGTGATCCACCTGCCTCGGCCTCCCAAATGCAAGATCCCATTTCTTTCTTTCTTTTTTTTTTGAGACGGAGTCTTGCTCTGTTGCCTGGGCAGGAGTGCAGTGGCCGAATCTCAGCTCACTGCAAGCTCCAACTCCCCAGGTTTACGCCATTCTCCTGCCTTAGCCTCCCGTGTAGCTGGGACCACAGGCGCCCGCCACCTCACCCAGCTAGTTTTTTGTATTTTTTAGTAGAGACGGGGTTTCACCGTGTTAGCCAGGATGGTCTTGATCTCCTGACCTCCTGATCCGCCCGTCTCAGCCTCCCAAAATGCTGGGATTACAGGCTTGAGCCACCACGCCCGGCCAAGATCCCATTTCTTAAAAAAAAAAAAATTTTTAATGAAGAGCTCAGTAAAAGTAATTGGCATGAGCCTCACAGCCCATTCTGGGGACTGTCAGGTCCTTGACTGAGAATGAGTCAGTCCACCTCTGCTACTTGGGACAATGAAAGAGAGAACGAACACAAAATTTACATAGGCCAGAAATATATCTCCAAGAAATCTTCACACCCCATATCAGACAAACTACAGATGCTAAATGGGAGACTGAACACTGTCCCTCAGGAAGCCTAAACCATCTGCAAATTAGTCCAAAACTCAAGAATTTGGATCCCTCAAGGATCCAGGATGCTTCTGTTTTCCCTTCACCAGCTCACTTTCCACTTTTTCACTATTACTGCTCCTTTCCAGTCCATTTGATATTCAGAGCTCAAAAAAGCAGATGTTCTAGGTACTATTCGCCAGCTAAATGACTGTCTTTGTGGGGAAAAAAAGGAGACAAGACATGGTCAATCACCCCTGTGACTCCAGCACTTTGGAAGGTTTAGGCAGGAGGAATGCTTGAGGGCAGGAGTTTGACACTAGCCTGTGCGACACAGTGAGATCATCTCATGAAACTAATTTTTTATTATCCACATGTGGTGGTGTGCACCTGTAGTCCCAGCTACTCAGGAGGTTGAGGCAGGAAGATCACTTGAGCCAAGGAGTCGGAGGTTACAGAAGCCTCCCGCTACCTGCCTATGATCATGCCACTGCAATCCAGCCTGGGTGACAGATTGACACCCTGGCTCTAAAAAAAATTAAAGAGGAAAAAAAATCTGACCTATTGCCTATATTTGTATAAACAGGCTGGGCTGGGACCTGGCCCTCTATTGATATATATCCAGCAATGGAGAAAAAGACAGAAAGACTGTGAGAGACATGGCTCCCTATGGTAAGATAAGAATGGTTTTCATGGCCTTCTTACATATTTACACCTAACAGGGAAACCCAGTTTCTTCAGCTCAGTAAAATAGCAACCAAAGCCAGATTTGTTCACTAAAAAAAATTTTTTTTTTTTTGAGATGGAGTCTTGTTCTGTCACCAAGACTGGAGTGCAGTGGCACAATCTGACCTCACTGCAACCTCCACCTCCCAGGTTCAAGCGATTCTCCTGCCTCAACATCCCGAGTAGCTGGGACCACAAGCGTATGCCACCTGGCTAATTTTTGTATTTTTAGTAGAGACAGAGTTTCATCATGTTGGCCAGGCTGGTCTTGAACTCCTGGCCTAAAATGATCTGTCTGCCTTGGGTTCCCAAAGTGCTGGGATTACAGACCTGGGGCACCGTGCCCAGCCAAAAAAATTCTCATTTAAACATTCATATACACAAAGGAGACAATTTACCCTTTGAGAAATAAATTCTAAAGTCTAAGCTGTATTATGCGCAAAAGCTTAGGATACCAAGAAACAGGACAGTCAGTATGTAGAGAGTAATTTCAAGGAGACTGAGTTCCCAGAGTAAGCTGCTGAGCTCCTGGAGTAAGATGAGAAGGTTCCATCCAGACACACCTTTTTGTATGTTGTCTCTCCTGAGGAATCAACACTTCGATGGCCTATTTTCTTGATGGGCATGCCAGAGGCATAAGGCACCTAGAAGAAGAGTCAAGACTGTAATACAAATTCCCATGTAAGATACCAAATGGCTACCACAATGATGTATCAAAATAAACTGAAACAATATACTCTTTCTAGATTAAAAACATTTTACAAAACCTTCAGAAGATCTATCCCACACAAATATACAGCTATAATGTTGGTTCCCAATGAATTAAGTGGCTAAAATATCACAGAAGAAAACTCCAAAGGACACATATTTTCCCTTTGGTCCTCAGAAGACACAGAAAATAAAAGTGAATATTTTTATTCTTTATTTTTTTGAGACTCTGCACAGGTATGAGCCACTGCACCCAACCAAAGGTGAGTATTTTTAAATACTAGCAGAAACATAGGTGGGCGATGGCCAGGTGCGGTGGCTCACGCCTGTAATCCTAGCACTTTGGGAGGCTGAGGCGGGTGGATCACGAGGTCAGGAGTTCAACATCAGCCTGGCCAAGATGGTGAAACCCCTGTCTCTACTAAAAACACAAAAATTATCCAGGCACGGTAGTGGGCACCTGTAATCCCAGCTACTCGGGAGGCTGAGACAGAGAATTGCTTGAAACTGGGAGGCGGAGGTTGCAGTGAGATTGCACCACTGCATTCCAGCCCGGGTGACAAAGCGAGACTCTCTCAGGGAAAAAAAAAAAAAGAAAGAAAGAAAGAAAGAAACATAGCTGGGTGCTGTGGCATGCACCTGTAATCTCAGCTACTCAGAAGGCCAAGTGGGGAGGATCATTTCAGCCTAGCAGTTTGAGACCAGACTGGGTAACATGGTGAATCTCCATCTCCAACTAAAATACAAAAAATTTGCCTGATGTGGTGGCATGCGTCTGTAATTCCAGCTACTCAGGAGGCTGAGGTGGGAGAATCACTTGAATCCAGGAGGCAGAGGTTGCAGTGAGCCAAGATCATACCACTGCACTCCAGCCTGGGCAACAGGGTTCGACTCTGTCTCAACAAAAAAAAGAAAAGAAAAGAGGCCAGGTGCAGTGGCTCACACCTGTGATCCCAGCACATTGGGAGGCCAAGGCAGGTGGGATCACCTGAGGTCAGGAGTTCAAAACCAGCCTGGTCAACAGGGTGAAACCCTGTCTCTACTAAAAATACAAAAATTAGGCGAGCATGGTGGCGTGCACCTGTAATCCCAGCTGCTTAGGAGGCTGAGGCAGGAGAATTGCCTGAACCTGGGAGGCGAAGGACACAGTGAGCCAAGATCAAGCCCAGCCACTGTACTCCACACTGGGCAACAGAGCAAGACTCCATCTCAAAAAAAAAAAAAAAAGGCAAGAAAGAAGAGAGGGAGTAAACCAGTACAGCAGTCTAGAAAGCTAGAACGTTATCCCTAAGAGCCAAGATGCCAGAGCAACAGACATGAAATTACTCTTCATGATATCAATATGCATTAAGTTAATAAGCCAGAAGGCTGAGAGACCAGTGGAAACAGGATGTCACAGGGTTTTTTTTGACAGGGTCTTGTCTCTGTCACCCAGGCTAGAGGGCAGTGGTGTGATAATGGCTCACTGCAGCCTCAACCTCCTGGGCTCAAGCAATCCCAAGTAGCTGGGACTATGGTGTGCACCTGGCTAACGTTTTATTTTTTGTAGAACCCGGGTCTCACTATGTTGCAAAGGCCTGTCTCGATCTCCTGGCCTCAAGCAATCCTCCCACGTCAGCCTCCCAAAGTGTTAGGATTACAAGCATGAGCTACCGTGACTGGCTGGATGTCCCAATCTTAAGACCTGATATTCAAGTTCTATTCCTTCAGCCAAGGCCCTTAGTACCAGAAAACTCTCAGTATGTCACCTGACAGATGCTGGAAGATGTTCTGAGAGAAGGCTTCAAGTCCCAGGTCAAAAGGGCCTGCATTCTGAGGCCCATTTCACAAAACCCAGGGGAGAGGCAAGAAGTGAGAAGAGGGTTAGGAAATACTCCATGGGAAGAAAGTTGAGCAAACTGATGATATTCTGGACAAAAAACAGAAACTTGGGAAACTAATAGTTTCTGCATAGCTCAAAGAAGTTCTTCATATTCATCGAAGGTATGTAATCAGGAGGCCATAACAGCAAAACTAAGAAAGTGAGCTTTAGTGTCAGACTGCCTGGGTTTGAATCCCAGCTTTACTAATCCCATTTAATAACTATGTAATCCTCACTTTCTTCATCTGTAAAACAGATAACAGTATTTGCCTCACTGTAGTTGTTCGCAGGATTAAATAAGAATATCTTAAAGGGCACTTAGGTACCGTATTTACTTTTTGGTACACGTTGCATTTGGTACATTTAAAATGCTCAATAAATGTGAGATATTGTTAATATTTAAAATAAACTACAATAAAAGTTGAGTTGCATAATTTCTAGCCTACCAATGAGATGTAAGAATCCTGTTTAGCTTCCAAGACCTAAGTAGATAAAAAATAAAAATGTCATAAACAGGTTCCTTCTATCCCAGAATTAAAGTTTTAGTAACCATTGTATCAATATGAAACTCACCTCAGGTGCCACAGGTCTCTTGATTCCAGATGCTGCTAGGAGGAGAAAAAAAAAAAAAAAAACACACACACACAATCATAAGAGTGTATCACACATTCACATCTCTATCAAGCACACTGAAGGCATCAGAGTTTGAGTCAAACTAAACATGAGTGTAAACTCCTGCCTCTTGCTCAGTGATACCAGATCCTTTTGGATAGCAATTTTATATGTCCCTCTCTCCTTCTCCATACTCACATAGGCCTTGTGCATATTCCATTTTTATTCTAGCCCCCTGTCTTACTCAAATATTCATATTTCCTCTGGGAAATATCACTTTTTTTTTTCTTTTTTTGCCAAGCTGGAGTGTAGTGGCATGACCTCAGCTCACTGCAAGTGATTCTCCTGCCTCGGCCTCCCGAGTAGCTGGGATTACAGGTGCCTCCCACCACATCCAGCTAATTTTTGGGTTTTTAGTGGAGGTGGGGTTTCACCATGTTGGCCGGGCTGGTCTCAAACTTCTGACCTCAAGTGATCCATCCACCTCAGCCTCCCAAAATGCTAGGATTACAAGCATGAGCCACCGCACCTGTCCCTTTTTTTTTATTTTTATTTTTTAGATGGAGTCTTGCTCTGCCGCCCGTTTTTTTTTGTTTGTTTGAGACAGAGTCTCGCTCTGTCGCCCAGGTTGGAGTGCAATGGCACGATCTCGGCTCACTGTGAACTCCACCTCCTGGGTTCAAGCGATTCTCCTGCCTCAACCTCCTGAGTAGATTACAGGCATGTGCCATCACGTCTGGCTAATTTTTTGTATTTTTAGTAGAGACGGGGTTTCACCGTGTTAGCCAGGATGGTCTCGATCTGCCGACCTCGTGATCCACCTGCCTCAGCCTCCCAAAGTGCTGGGATTACAGGCGTGAGCCACCACACCCGGCCTTTTTTTTTCTTTTTGAGACGGAGTTTTGCTCGTCACCCAGGCTGGAGTGCAATGGTACAATCTTGGCTCACTGCAACCTCCTTCTCCCGGGTTCAAGCAATTCTCCTGCTTCAACCTCACGAGTAGCTGCGATTACAGGCGCCCACCACACGCCTGGCTGATTTTTATATTTTTAGCAGAGATGGGGTTTCACCACATTGGCCAGGCTGGTCTCGAACTCTTCACCTCAGGTGGTCCACCCGCCTCGGCCTCCCAAAGTGTTGGGATTACAGGTGTGAGTCACTGCGCATGGCCAATTTTTGCATTTTTTAGAAGAGATAGGGTTTCACCAACTTGGCCAGGCTGGTCTTGAACTCCTGACCCCGTGATCGACCTGCCTTGGCCTCCCAAAGTGCTGGGATTACAGGCGTGAGCCACCGTGCCCACAAGAGCAAAGTTAGGCTCACAGCAAGGTTTAATTTTCAATTTACGTAGACCTTCGTGAAATTCTAATCATCATCTCAAAGAATACGGTTCCTGCCAAAACCCTCAGCTGTCCCATCCCCCAACATACCCACATGCTTGTACACACTAGCAACTATGGAATCTGATTCTCAATGAGGTACTCTGCATGCTTTCAGTTGAAAATAAAAATGCTGATTCTAGACTCTTTGGTCAGCGCCTGGCCTATCCTCTCCTCTTTTAACCCAGAGGAAAGGGTTTAAAAGAGACCAGGTAGAACCAATAGCCAGCATCTGCTTCTAGTCTCGTAGTTACCACCCAGAAAGTAAGCTCCTCTGTATACAAAAAGTCACTGAATAAAGTTAAACAAGGGAAAAAAAGCAGAGAAGTAATTTCAATGTAGAGTGGCTTTGAAGCTTTCTTACTCCCTAAAAAGTTCTCCTTTGCTACCTTTCCTAGTTTTATCACACAAACATGTAGCTCTAGGGCTGCTACACTCTTGCAAAGTACCTAGAATAAAGATAAGAAGATGTTGCTCCATGGAATTTTGGTGCCAACTGCTTAGCTATCTGCGACTGCAAAACTGGGACTAATTCCAAGAGTATGCAGAATGATGATGCTATTAGAGTCTAAGTAATAATACTCAGACCAAGTGACAAAGAGAGGAGCAGAATCAGGACACAAGACCTACTACTTTCTTCCTTGCCTAAAGTTTTGCCCCTGTGGCATACAGCAGAGATCCAACCTACCAAGGAACAGAAGAGAAAAATATCATACCTATTTTAAATCCAAAAAAAGGAAAAAAATATATATATACACACACACACACACATATATTAATTTTTTTTTTCCTTTGAGACACGGTCTCACAATGTCACCCTGGCTGGAGTAGAGTGGTGCAATCTCTCTGCTCACTGCAGCCCCTACCTTCCAGGCTCAAGTGATGCTCCCACCTCAGCCACCTGAGTAGTGGGGACTACAGGCGTATACCACCATGCCCAGCTGATTTTGCTTTTTTTTGCTATTATTCTTTTTTGGAGATATGAGGTCTCACTATGTTGCCCAGGCTGGTCTCAAACTCCTGGATTCAAGTGATCCTCCCACCTCAGCCTCCTGAGTCGCTGGGACTATCAGCCTGCACCACTGCACCTGGCTGTTAGCCAGACAATTTTTAAAGAGAATGAGATTCATCCCTATGGATAAAACCAGAATACTGTTCAAAAGAAAATGTTTTCTAGTGTCCTTGTGAAAAATACTGTAGGTATACATTATCATTTTGGAATCCATACCCATGATTTATATATATCATTATCATTTTGGGTAGGGAGACAGCATTATAAGTTTATTCTTCCCTAGAAGAAAATATTTTATCTGAGAATCTTGACACCTGCAGCCCCCCATCTAAGGCAAAACTCTCAAAGGGCATTATTTGAATGTCTTTATTATCATCAGTCCACACTTGGAAGTGTGGCATGTACGATAAGAGAGGAGAACCTATTATCCAAGAGTGGGTATATAGGTGATAGCTTGGCTATAAATGCTGATAGCTTGGCTACAAATGCTACAGAGAAGGTCCTAGGCCAGCTTCTCCACGCTGGCTCAATTTTAATATATCTCAGCCTCGGTTCAATGCAAAATTATTCCTGCTTTTTTCTCCATCACTCAGGCATCTCCACATTCTCTCATTTCTCTTTAATGCTGACTATTAACACTAAACTGCAATGCTGATATATTTTTAGAAACGTTATTTCTCTCCTATGACCGAACAACTTATGTTTGTATAAACACTTTGGAAACTTACAAATATATCTCATTTGTTCCTCAAAAAATACTACAGGGTTTGGAAACTATTTTAATTAAGGATTTCAGGAGAAATAACCAAATATAATGTGCGAAACCTGTTTGAGTGCTGATTAGAAAAAAAAAACCATAAAAAGACATTTCTGAGAAAAGAGTTTTGAGAAGAAAAGTTAAATATTAATTTTATAGATGTGACACTACTATTGTAGTTATATTATACTCTCCCATCCTCACCTCTAAAAGATTCCTTAAGTGTATTAATACGTTCTGAAGTATTTAGGAATGAAATCCCATGAGGACTGGGCTTGCTTTAAAATATTCCAGGAAGGTAGAGGTAGAAAAATGAAGTATAGATGCAAGAAGATTGGCAAAATGCTGCTATCAAAGTTAGGTGATAGGCCAGGCACACTGGCCCACGCCTGTAATCCCAGCACTTTGGAAGGCCAAGGCAGGTGGATCACCTGAGGTCAGAAGCTCGAGACCAGAATCGCCAACATGGTGAAACCCCATCTCTACTAAAAACACAAAAAAATTGGCTGGGCAAGGTGGCGGGCGCCTATAATCCCAAATACTTAGAGGCTGAGGCAGGAGAATTGCTTGAACCCAGGGAACGGAGGCTGCAGTAAGCCGAGATCACACCACACCATCACACTCCTGCCTGGGCGAAAGAGCAAAACCCTGTCTTAAAAAAAAAAAAAAAAAAAGCTAGGTGATAAGTACATGGAAGCTCATTATACTATTCTCTCTACTTCACGTGCATCTGATGATTGTATAATGTAAGTAAAGGAAAAAAATACCACAGAAGAAAACAAAACAAGTTTGGATAATCAAACTTCTTAATCTGAGCTTTTTTTTTTTTTTTTGAGACGGAGTCTCACTCTGTCACCCAGGCTAAAGTGCAGTGG